ATGAGTAAATAAATCTACTCTAACATCTTTACAGAGCAATATTTTCTCCTATAAACATATACAGTACCTCTAAAACAGTGATATACACCCGACTGGCAACCCTTACACTTTGACGCGCTATCAAAACAAATAAACACCGCTGAATTCAAATGTAGGCCTACCCATTTCCATATATACGATTTTATGAAATTGAAAATAACAATCACCGAATACAATGTCAACAGAAGAATGTTGCTAGAATCTTTCGGACTTTTTCAAGAAATATTCTCTCTTTCTTTGAATATTAAGGCGTTTTAGTCAAGGAAAGTATTATAGAACATCGGACAGTTATCTAGATGAAAGAAGACTAATCCCATATACTTCATTACAAGATGGCGCTTGATAAGCTGAAAAAGTTGTTGGTTTTCGCCTTCGTCTTCGTGCAGCTCTACTGCTCGACAGTTCTGGTCTTTATTGGCACAAATAGGAGCAGGTTAGTAAGCATGTGCAGACGACGTGGTGGGTGAATGGGTACATGAAGTGAGTACATGTACATTTACGTAAATATGGAAAGTGTGTGAATGAGTGCCTAATGTGAGCGAGTAACTTTACACAGTAAGTACACAAAGTGCGTGACTACACCCAGGGAATGCATGCAGTAAGCACGCACAATACACGTTGGGTACATAATGGTAAGTAAATGAGGAAACTCGGGGAGTATATAAAGTGGGCGAGTACATACAGTGAGTACGTAGAGTCGTGCATGGTGAATACATCAAGAGAGTGATTTCGTAAACTCAGTGAGCCCATAACGTTAGTAAGTACACACAATGAGTACTTTATTCAAAGTGAGTATACATAATGAGTACATACAATGACTAATATATATATATATATATATATATATATATATATATATATATATATATATATATATATATTTAATGTGTGTGAGCTCACACAATTAATACATACATTATAGGTGAACATAGAGTAAATAGTATGTATAAAATGTAATTCACAAAGTACACACCATAAAATGAATGAATGAGGAATACACAAACATTGAACATAATGAGAACATGCAATAGATATTTAAACAGGCGAGTGAGTACATGCAGTAAATGTACAGTGTGAGTGAATAATGAGTTCGTTTTTCTTCAATCCAGAGTTTCGCCATCATGGGAGCGGGCGGAAGACGGTTCCCTCTCAGGTGAGAATATGTAGGCCTACCTGTGCAGTATATAGAGAATCATGAATATTAATGATTGTAATATGAATTATGGATTATCATGATAATGATCATGGTGATTATGATAATGATAGTAATCATAATCATCTCAGTAATCTTGATGTTGGTAACGGCATCTGATAACACTGTGGACTTTGTCAGGAAATTGCTGTGTAGCAAAATTGTCTCAAAAGGAATACAAAAGCAGGCATGACTATGTAGCCAAATATGTTCATTGGAGGCTTTGCGAGAAGTATCTGTTTGAACAGGTATTGAGAGCAGATACCAGGTGTCTGAGAGCATAAAGATTTCGTTTTAATTCCATTTGTTATAATGAATATGCTTTGCTGTGACATACTGTTTTATTTTGCTACTAAATATCCCCCTGTGTGCAAGGAATGTCCGGGGTTACCATCCACTGGCAGTGCATAGGATCGAACCCGGGTCAGCAAGATTGCTAGACCAGCACGTTGCCATTGCACTGCACAGGAGTTGAAAGACTTATAGGATTTGCAATCTAATGCAATTAAGTGATTGATGCTTGGAGACCAGACATTGTATTAATTAATGAACAGAAGAAAGAGATTATAATCACTGATGTCGCCATACCTGGGGATGTACGAGTGAACCATAGAGAAGTGGAAGGAAATGTGAAGTATAAGCCATTAAAAGATGAGATAACAAAAAATTAAGCAATAAAGAAATTCACTGTCATCAACATATTTGTAGGAGCATTATGAGCGTTAACAACCAAGTTCGAGATAATGATAATAAATGATAAAAGCAACAGTAATGACAATAATGATAATAGTAAGTATGGTAATAATTATAAAAATGATAATAACAAAATATTGGTGATGATGAGATGGTGATAATGATAACGATAATAAAGACAATGGTAATAAAAGCAACAGCAGTAATAACATAACAATGATGATGATGAGAATATTCTTAATGATAATGACAATGACAATTTTAGTAAAACCACAAGAATAATGATAAAAAAATATGAGTTGACGTAAGAGTCTCTACTACTCCGTACACAATACTACTTAGTATGTATATTTGGATATGCCTATCATAACAGACCGGCTTTCGACACAAGACCTACAAGTGGCCGTCTGAGGGGCACCGTATATGTCGTGAATATCTGCTTGCATGCATATGTATGTTGCGGATATGTTAACCCAATAGCCACGTTTCATTTCAGTTGCATCTGACCAGACGCCAGAGCCATTGGTGGAGGCCGAGCAGATGCGTCGACAGGTGGGAAGAGACGTGCGTTACACCTGGCAGTTCTTGAAATTCCACCTAAGGCATCTTAACTCAAGCAACGCCAATCTTGGTACCGATCTTGATGAACTGGAACATTACTTTCGGTACTACACTCTCGCTGCCAGGAGTAATCTGTCTTAATCCTTTATGTACCAGAGATGCAAATGATGAAGATAGATGATGAAGATAACAAGTATGATAAATAGACAATAAACTTGTAGAACGGACAAAGCAAGTCCTTTTCGAGTTGTGGAATCCTATTATCATTATTCCAACTCATTCGAAAGTAACATTTGTTTTTCCAGTCTTATAATTCCAAAATGAACCACACTAAGAGACGTCCAGATGTGGTCGGATGAGTGAGAGACGTTACCGAGTCCCAACTGTTTTCAGAGTGACCTCCTACGACCTCACGCGCCTTGGCGAGGTCGGCGGGTTTCAGCACTGGAGAGGAGGAGGCCGCCGCCCTCAGCGCCCTCGTCCAGCACCGGCTGCGCGTCCTGCAGAATCCTCGCGATTGCGCCTCCGCCAAGAAGATCTTTTGCGACTTTAGAGTTGCCGTAAGTATTGTGGTTACATGAGTTATGCTCCTCTGCCGCGTCGTAACCTGACAAAACGATAACGTTTGGAGATTTTTTTCTTCACAAAGGAAACTACTGTGATTTGAGATTACACAAAAAATTATCAACAGTGATGCTACAATTGTATCCCTAAAAGGAGTTGCAGAAACAGATGAAGGCCAGTGTTTAGAGAAAATCCCTCTAAATTCTAAGACACTGTCTCGCGTCTTTAAAATATGGCCATTTCAGGGGCGAGGGATAGGGAGCCAACTACACCACCTGAGCTACTGTTTCCTGGCGTCATATGGCACTCAGCGGACCTTGATTCTAGATACGAAGAATTACAATGGCAATCCCGAAGGACTCGAGACGTTCTTCCTTCCTCTCAGCGACACTTGCACAAGTTACGACAAGTCTCAGATGGTTCCTTGGCCAGGTGAGAGGTGTTGATGGTTGTCTTGCTTGTTGAAAGGGGCAGGAGCCTGTTACACTTGGCAGTAGGCTGCTCAATGCCTTAATGTTACTCTGTAATTTTATGACGAATATAGGACTGCACAAAACGTTCAACAATGACATATGCATCAAATAGGGAATTGTTATATAAGGTAAAGGTTATCAAGACAATCTTTGGAGCTGATAAGATTCTCATAGGAATCAACTTCCTACGAATCTGCTTGCAGGAAAGAAAGATTCGCTCGTGGTGCGTTTCCCGAGTATGGACAGACCGAATCCGAGGCCGAACTATTTTCCAAAGTCAATCCCGAAGGACATTTCCGAGCGTCTGGTGCGCCTCCACGGAGATCCTTTTGCCTGGTGGATGGGCCAGTTCTTCAAGTACGCCATGAGGACGAACAAGGATTTCCAGGATTACATTGATAACCAAGCGCGAGAAATGGGTTACGAGTCTCCTATTGTAGGGTGAATATTATTAGCATTTTAACACATAAGTCAGGTATATGCAGCACACACATGCATGCATGTATCTGATGGACTGTAGGTATATTTGTATTGTCCTAATTTTTAGGTTCATTGTTAGCCACTGGCCTTACCTCTTTATTATTTAATTTGATATTATAATTTTGCCTTGCCCTACCGTCCTCTGACATTCTGTACACATCTCTTAATTTACTTCAAGCATCTCATTCAGTGATACCAATTCATGAGTACTCTTTGACTCAGAACGTTTATTTTTCCCTACGATACGGCTATATTTCACTTCATTTCCCCCCTACTGCTTATTCACAAGTGGCAGTCTTCTTCATATTTCAGCTTGCAGATTCGACGGTCTGACAAACTGATACATGAAGCAGTTTACATTGACCTCAGTGTGTACATGGAAGAAGTGGAGGGCTTCTACAAGCAGCTGGAGTTGCGTCAGCCTGTTGCGCAACGAAGGGTCTTCTTGGCCACTGACGATCCAAATGTAATTGCTGAAATAAAGCAGAAGTAAGTAGGGAAAACATGTAGGAGGATAAACATGGAGAGACATATGGTCCCTGTTTTCACGAACAGGCGTAACCACCAATTTGTCGATTTTGAGTTTTATGTGTATTTGATGTCCGTGAACCAATGTCCGTTTTGTCTCAGATTTATATGGCCTAATTTCTTCCCGATAGTGAGATGTGGCATGCAGTATCATGTTGTAAGCAATTTTATATTTGTTGAAAAAAAACGAACTCATTTCAATACAAGTAACTTTTTGCACATTCGCCGGTTCGTGAAAACAGGGTCGATATATAGGGGCAAGCAGGGAGACAGAAGCTTTTGCCTTGGTCATTGTGACTACAAAATCAGGCAAATATTTGCATCAAAAATGTTGGAAATCCTCTCCTGTGCATGTCCCCAATATTGTTTTTTCTGCGAGAGCTTACTCCTCGTGGGTTCACTCAAGCCTGTATAACCTGCCGGATGGACTTACTGTGAGCCAAGACTCACGCTCTACTGCAGTTTTAATTCGAGACGCAAAGCCTTAGCCTTCTCTTTGGCCACTGGATTCTTCAGCTCATTCGGGATCAATCCTTACGGATGCAGTATAGTATACATTGAGGGGCGGCGATAGAAAACTTTTTTTGGGGGTGTCGGTAAAAGCCGACTGCTTAAATTATGCCGACCACCAAGTTTGCCGAGTAAACTGTATTTTTTTTTTTTTTTTTTTTTCATTCTGCCGAGTGAAATGATTTGTGACCTTTGGGGTGTGTCGCCCCCCCCCCCCCCGTGGCATCGCGCCTGTATATATTGTTCATTTCGACAGGTTGCATCACAATGGAGAATATTGCTACCACATCAGTATAACATCTGTTATACTGATGTTATATGATATTTGCGGAAGGGTATTGAAAGGGTTGAATTGAAGGCCTCCGACTGAGGCGCGGCCAACATTTTGATAATGGCCTTGAAAGGCGACCCCAACAGACCTCTCTTTATTGGTTCACTAATCAGACCTGCTCAAATGTCTCCATACAACAACAACAGAAACACTGCAAACTTGGCCCTCAACCCTACCATGGAGATTTTCTTAAAGAAGTCGAATCATTTCCTCAACTGTTTTTGGCAAGGCATGAAGAGAGATGCTTCTTTGGCACTGGGATAAGAACGATGCCAGCCTTTTCTAGAACTCGGCTAGGAAATGGAGAAATCTTCCAAAACCTAAGGACGAGGCCCAAGGGAACTGCATCTTGAGTGCGCCATGAGAGCCCGCCGTTCGCGAGTTGTCTTCGCGTTCACTCGAGCAAGGCAAAGTCAAGTGAACGGTCGACCTGACAAAACGTTTCGCGAGGCGCTTCGTGGCAAACAAGGCGATAGTTGAATGGAAAAACACCGTGTTGATACTATGATCGAAAAAAAACACAATGCACAAACTAGATTTATTGATAAAAGTGAAACAGTTTCGGAATCTTCATCACTGCATCATATGTTTCAATTCACCCTTTTATCTTTGTTAGTCACTAAAATGGGAAGTATGTTCCTGTGGCACCATTACTTGGTGCTTCCTATAACAAGTAATCTTATGTTGCCTCGATGAAAAAAATCGTGAGCCACATTTGAATTTTGAAAAAGTTCTGATGATAAACCGGATTTTTTTCTTTTAATCGGCCTAACAGATGATCATGGTAAAGAAGGGGCATCTACTAATGACAATAAATAGATATTAAAAAACGAGGAATAATCACAATACAACGACAGACTAATACCAATAAAGCTACAACAAAGCCACCCTGGATATCCCACACTCTGCCCCCTCCTTCGCAGGTACCCGGAGTACAAGGTCGTGTACAACTCGGCCAGTGTCGACTCGACGCGCTTGAACCAGCGGAAGAAGAGTGAGAGTGTGAGGTATTTCTTCGCTGATGTTTACTTCCTCTCGCGGTCCGACTTCCTCGTCTGCGGGATGACCTCCAACGTAAGGAAGAGGGAGGGAGAGAGAGGGACAGAGGGAGGGAGGGAAGAAGGGAAATAGAGAGTATATTAGTTACTAATGTCAACATATATTTCCACAGATTTAGATATTCACAGTATGTTTTATCTATATATGAATTTAATATATGTATATATACGTCTGTACACACACACACACACACACACACACACACACACACACACACACACACACACACTATATATATATATATATATATATATATATATATATATTATCCTGGCATATTTCCACTACAAGATCTGCAGGCTGAGTTACGAGCTGATGCAGAGCCTCCACGCGGACGCCTCGACCCGCGTGTCGTCGGTCGACAGAGATTACTACTTCCACTACGAGGTCGGGAATGTGGTCAAGGCTCGCTTCCCGCATAAGCCTAGAAGGTTTGTGAAGTGTTATTATTCTTTTTTTTTTTTTTTTTACTTTTCTATTATTATTATTCAGGTCTTCAAGAAAGCTGACTATTATCAGTTAAGGAAGGAGTTATATAAAGGATGGATGGTTTCCAGAAAATATAGGATTTCGAAATTATTACTGAAACAAATTTTCCTTTGCATTTCCCAGATATAGACAATACTTTACGAAGATTCCAACACTTGGGAAACAGTGTTATAACGAAATGTATTCACTTAACACCTTCGCTATTTGTTGTATTTGAAGACTGGAGTTCTTAATGCGGTCTCATGATAAATAACTCTTCCATGAACAGGCCTGGAGAACTAGAAATGCAAGAAGGAGATGAGGTGAACCGAAACGACTTACCGACTCATTTTCGCAAGCATCCCAGCAAAGACAATGGGTTTCTGTGGGGCAGGAACACGCGCACCAAAAAATTTGGTTATTACCCTGTTTACAAGACCGTCGAAGTTTTGAAGAGGGCAAATATCCAGTCCTTTGAAGACATTGATAGAATAATAAAACCGTATAATTATTGTTACTTTTTACTTGACGTTTGTCTGAGGTTAGAGAATTATGTTCTCAAGGTTAATGATATTAGGGACACGGACCATGTCATGATCTGATGAACGGGGTTGTGATATATATATATAATATATATAATATATATAATATATATATATATATATATATATATATATATCATCATAAATAGAATCATAATTAATTGCTTAGAAAGTTGCATTGGATTCAGCGACGCTCTCCGATCTCTGCAGAACGGTGCATTCATGGCTACCTATTCTCAACTACAAGAAAACAAAGTTAATCAAGATGGCGGAAATGTTTGTAAACAGTCTCTTTGTTACTTTGTCTATCTATGCTTAATTTTTCATAGGTATGATTTTTTATTTGGAAACATTATTGTGTGAAATATAAGACTTTACTTGATTTTTTTGTTGAAGCGCCAGATTTAAAATTTTCTTGTGTGTATGTCAATAGATTTTGAAAACGCGAGAGCAAAAAGGCATCAGCACATCAATGAGAAAATTTTAAGATACAATAGCGCGATCAAATAACCTGCAAGGCTGGTCATTCAGAATTATTTTAATTTTTACTGTTGATTAATCTCAGTCCTATTGGGCATACCTTATATTTAACATTGTGCTTTTTTACAGTTCTGAAATAAAGTGGTAAAATTATTTTGACATTTTTCTGTCATAGTCCTTTATTTCGAATATCGCGAAGCATTCACGTGAGAGTGAAAATAATAAATAAAGTGTCGTGGCTATGATAGAAAAAGTGCCTCAGGTTTTGTGAAGGGACAGCCTTTCAAGTTTTTAGTTATGGCGATGTCTATCACTACTTGTCATCAATTTCTGTTCAGAAGGTAATTTCATAGAGACCTTTTATAGACAGCACACGAATCGGTGTAAACAGCATTGCCACTGACACCGGATTAAAACGCAATAAAGCAGTTTGGTTTCCCTCTGCCATACTATAATTCCCATTCAGAGACAACATTTATGTCTCTCTTAATTACCACAAATGCTGTGTGTTTAATCATGCCGCACTGTTTGGTTCTTGATAAAAAAGGAACTCCGATCACGGATTTTGGAATTAATGACAAACCTCTCAACACCTAAAAATGGGTAAAAATCAAGATTATTAGTCATCCTTCTCCTGTTGTTGGAACAGAGTTATCTAATGTGTATGTTCTTCGGGAAGACCAAAAATTATTCATTATTTTTTTCCAAAACCATATTCTGTGGAAATGGAAAAAAAATCATTACTAAATATACTATATATATATTTGTGTGTGTGTGTGCGTGTGTGTGTGTGTGTGGGACCAAAAAAATTATTCATTATTTTTTCCAAACCATATTCTGTGGAAATGGAAAAAAAAATCATTACTAAATATACTATATAATATATTTGTGTGCGTGTGTGTGTGTGTGTGTGTGTGTGTGTGTGTGTGTGTGTGTGTGGTGTGTGGTGTCTGTGTGTGTGTGTGTGTGCATACATACATACATATATATATAAATATATATATATATATATATATATGTGTGTGTGTGTGTGGTGTGTGTGTGTGTGTGTGTGTGTGTGTGTGTGTGGTGTGTGTGTGTGTGTATACAAATAAATAAGAATGATGTACCGTTCATATAGAGTATTTTCTTTATGTTTGTGTCATATTTCATCCTTTAGTAAAATGTCAAACATGCAGCCCCCCCCCCCCCAAAAAAAAAAAAAATGGGGGAAAGTTTTTGTCAAAATTAATGGAATATAAGTTCGGCTAAGGCACACATCAGGTTTAAAAAAAAAAAAAAAAATTGCCCATTACTTTCTGGTAAAAAAAAAAAAAAAAAAAAAAAAAAAAAAAAAAAAAATGTATCTCAAATGTAAAGCATCTAGTTAGCTCAGACACACCTTGTAGAAATCTCATTAAAATCTGTTATCTAAAATGGAAGAAAGAAAAAAAGAAACCGCGATATTTCCATATTACATTGTTACGCATAGGACACAATTTTAGTCAGAAATAAACGTATTGTGGCTCATTCCATAGCTAAAGGGTAGATTATGTTCCAAAAGTTTGTTTGTTTGTTTTTTTCCTGTGCTTCCTGTAAAAGTGACATATATACACACACACACACACACAACACACTATTATATATATAATATATATATATATATAATATAGTCTTTTTATGTTAAAAGTCTAAAAATATTTACAAATCAAAAACGGTCATAATCGAAAAAAAGTGTTTCATACAAGCACTAGATTAAGGATTTTTCTGTTTGAAAATTGAATCAGTATGCCTGTTATTTATTGCTTTTTTTTTAGGGGGGGGATTTTAGAGATTTCCGAAAATGGTCAACGTAGGCCTACAAACCCAAATCAGTGTGTGACTACAATAACTTTGATAGATATTATTACTTGCTAAAAATTTCCGTAAGACTTCGGAATGCAGGTAAATGATAGAGGATTATGTTATTGGAAGATTATTCTTTTACCTAATTTTGTTATGTTACTATCAAGTTATGAAAATACATGAAAAACAAAAAATGGCGATATCTCGAAACCCTACCTTCGTAGTCTCCAAAAGCTGTAGCACACAATTTTTGTCC